TTATCGTGCAGGTCAAATCAAATGCAGGAATAAGTGCACGAAAAAAATGAGATAAATCTGAATGTAAGCGTACACACTGTACAGTCGAATAAAATCCTTCATATTCTAAAATGATTAACTTAAAACATGTAATACTTGCATGCAATGGTATAAAGAAGACATTTTGGACGGAGAAATGAAAAGGAAATAGAGGAGGAGTAGCACGTGGGTCCCATATCTGTTAGCTACACCCTTAACCAGTAGCATTTGACAATGCAAGTAAAAGGCAAGGTTAAACATTGTATTCATGCAAATAATGAGATAAACTGAATTACAAGTTAGAATCAATCCTATACATGGATATAAACATTACATTCCTGCATGCAAAGTGATGAAGAATACATTTTGGGAGGGTAGGTTAAAGGAATGTGGACCCTATAACTGTTAGCTGAAGCCCTGGCCCACGTGCAACGCACTTAAGACATAAAACAGTGCAATTAATATTTAGCAAATGACCTTTTGGTGCATGTTAAATGCAGGAGTAAGCAGGATATGTAAACAAAATGCACGTACAGTCGAATGAGATTTAAAAAATGTGAAATGTAATACCGTACAGTATAATAAATCCTGACCTTTATATAGAAATAAAGTATACATATTTAGACTTAATCAGGGTTCAAGGTTAGTTTATTTGTACAGCATATTTTAAGATGGCAATTCAAAGTGCTTCACATAGGCATGCAACACATAGTAATTCAAACAAAACAAACACACACACAAAGTAATAAAGAATACATTTTGGGAGGGTAGATTAGTAGGAATTTGAGCACGAGTGCTCCCTTCCTGCAAATGGACCCATAACTGTTAGCTGAAGCAATATGTGCACGTAGCACGTACAGTCAAATGAGATTTCTGAAAATGTGAAATTAAATAACGCACAGTAGGATGTGTAGGCTGCAGCTCCATCACAGAGGCATGATGAGTGTGCTGCATGACTCTGAAGTCCTTCCCTGAGGCAGAGTGAGTGTGCAGCCCCTCGTCCAATCAGGAGGCTCGCTCCGGAGGCCGTGAATCATCTGCTACCGTCAGACGGGAGGGGGAGCTGCTCCCTCTCTCTCTGGATTAATAATGGCAAAACAAACACACACACACACACACACACACACACACACACACACACACACACACACACACACACACACACACACACACACACACACACACACACACACACACACACACACGGGAGGAGAGAGGAGCCTCCCTCCATTACAGGCTGCAAGAAGAGATGCTTCAGTGTAGTGTGAATAACCTTTAATGCAGGCAGTATGCGCCGATTTATCAAATGTGTCAGCAGAGTTGATATTTATATAGGAAGAGAGATCAGTGTAGATTAGTGTCATTCAAAACAAATCACAATCAAGGAATAAGGTTTCGTGACAGTTGCTAAGGAGCGAAAAAAAAAAATATTTGCTTTGATTAATGAATTATTAAATATGTTAAAGTAAGAATGTGCAATAAAAATATATATAAAAAACACATTTATTTATAAATTTATTTATACATTCGCTGTAAAAAGCACGACCAATCATCTGAGCC